AAGAGTGAGACTTATTTAGCATTGCTGCTCAAAATGTAATTTATGCCTTTAGGAATATTTTCCTTCGCTGGCAGTCAGTTAAATATAGTAAAGGCTGTAAGCAGTTGAACAGTCCTAGATTTATCTGCTGTTTTAACGTGTTGCAGGGTATGTGTGACTTGATGTGCCGAGAGAATTCTAGAGCAAGACTTGGGACTAACATAGGTCACAATTTTCATTATTTAAAGCAGGCTTTTGAGACGTCTGGGCTGTAAAAGGTATTTCCTTCCTCAAAATGATTCAGTTGAAAGACGAAGGCAGCTCATGCGTGCGCTCTCCAGAGGGTAACATGAAAACTGACAGATCTTAAAGACAAAAAGAGGTTTCTTTTGGTCTGCTTTTTAAAGCACCTGGCCTGTATTGCTTGTAATCCTGACTGACACGTTTGTCTAATCAAAGGGGTTCAAGTAGTCACATTCAGTTTACCCCTTGTCCTGTAGTATCTCACTCCCTGTCTGTCCTGTGTGTCTACAGAAGCATGCAGAAACTCACACAGCTGGAGAGGTTGGATCTGGGGAGTAATGAGTTCACTGAAGTGGTGAGTATCTGTCAGCCGGTCTGTTGATGCCCAGGGCTTTCTACATCTTTAGCAGTGACCTCACCTCTTCCCTTCTTCATCTGTCCCCTTTTCTTCTCTATTTTAAAATGTCATTTCTTAAGTGCACAAACAATGAGTGTTCATTTATTTTCACTGCTTTCATTAATGCAGAATAATCACTGAAACAACTCAATAGTTTCATGGTTCATTTTTAGTTTATGAGTGAAACTCCTGTCCCTTCCCAGGCAGTGCATACACACTTGTATACATACATGCTGTCACTTAACCTTCTTTCTCCGTTCACATGCGTAGCCTGAGGTGCTAGAGCAGCTGACTGGAATCAAGGAGCTGTGGATGGATGGGAACAAACTGACATTTTTACCTGGGGTATAATTTACAGTCATTCCCATACACACACACACACACACACTTTCACTGGTCTGTTTGTCTCAAAGCATCATCTTGAGATTATTTCCCTAGATTTCCACACTGTGTCTGTTGAATGAACCACATTCCATTTACCTCAGACTTGCTGCTCTCAGCAATTTGGAAATGATTCTCTTGGTGCACAAATGCAATTAGAGTTCAACAGAAAATGCAGACCTATGGGTTTACAGATGTCCCGGTTTCTGACAAAAAAACATATCTGTAGCTGTGAAGTAATTGTCCCATTTGAACTTAATTTGTAATGAGACAATGAGAGCGTGTTAGATTTTACATGTGAATAACCAGCTTGTTTGTAACTGGGTCATAATTACAGCATTAGCTCTGCTGCCAGCATTTCAACAGCCTCAGCATTTCAACAGTCTGGGCTGTTGTAAGCAGTGATGTCGGTAAATGTATAAACCAAAACTGAATACAGCAACTGTTGTGGTTTCAATTTTAGTAATTGTCTTCACTGATGAGGATCTTTTGGGCGTTTTTTTTAATGTAGAGCTTCTGTGTTCAGCCAACACCATTACTTAATCCTTGGCATAAATTGAGGATATTGAGATATCAGTGTAATATTTTGTGCATCATCCTTTACCTATCCAGATGCTGGGGATGCTCCAACAGTTGGTATATCTGGATGTGTCTAAGAACAACTTGGAGATGGTTGATGAGCAAATCAGTGGCTGTGAGAGTCTACAGGACCTCCTGCTCTCCAGCAATGCCCTCGCACAGCTGCCCAACTCCATTGGTGAAGATCACAGCGCACACACACTCTCACACACACACACACACACACACACAACTCAGTTGGAGAATGAAACATCATAATTCTTTTATCTGCTGCCAGTGCATTTTTTGTTCCTAAGTTTATGCCTGTGTTGTACTTTAGAGTTATCTAATTCCCATCGGTGGTGTGGCAACGTTTTTTCCTGTGTAGCCAAAATACTCTTATGACACTGGAAGTGTACAGTTAGATGTCAGCTCCTCTGACTTTTATTTCTTCTTCTCAGATACTGTGGTGTCAGGGTTTTTTTTTTTTTTTGTTTTCACTTTCTTTGGCCTTCATGGGTAAATGGAGTTTGAGAACGGGGAAGTTAAACTTAGTTCACATTTATATTTGACTGACCAAACGAATATAAATATTTGTAGTAAATTACGTGAGTTCACGAGTTAAGAGCAGACTAATACAATCAGTCCAGTCCAGATGCACAGTACTACAGAAGCAAGGGTCTGTTACTCCTAAACTAATTACTGTATTGATGACAGTATGAATTAATCCAATTAACTGCTGTAATTCATATCCCCTTTGTGATGCAACAAGTGATGATCAATAATTGCCCTGAGCTGCTCTGTCATTTTATTTCTCTTTCTGTTCTGTCGTTTCCTCGTCCTTTAGGTTCACTGAAGAAACTAACTACACTGAAAGTGGATGAGAACCAACTGATGTACTTACCAGACTCTGTTGGAGGGTGAGCAGTAAAAAGCCATCAGATCAGTGGATTGTTCTGTTTTCATCTGCTGTCCACTGATCAGTGTCTGTCTAGATACACCAACCTGTATGAACCAAAGCTAACCTCAGTTTTTGTTTGAACAAATCATTCTGAAGAGTTTTATTTAGCCT